CATCAGCTTCTCTCCGTGCATTTCGTGGGAGCATGAAAATATTATGAATGGGTGACATTGTCGGGATGTTGGGCGCGTATGACGTGTTGTGTGTTGTGTGTGACGGGCTGGCGCGCCCTGCGCAGGTCCATCGGGTCACCGCAGCGGAGGCCTGCGGCCGGACGAGGCGCCCCGAGCGCCCGACCTCCAGCTGGACTGGTGCTCCGACAGCGACTCAGACGGCGACTGCTACATCGAGTGTGTCAAGGAGACGGCACCGGTGAGAACGGCGGTCGGTCGGCGCCTGAGCGGCCGCCCGCCCCGACTTAAGATTAATTGGCTGGCGCAGCGACGAACGCCGGGACAGCAGCTATAGGTTGCAGGGCGCCCGAAAAGGCTGCCGCTGGACACTAGCCTGCCACTGTTCGGTGTGGTTGGCCGAACTGAACCTGCCAGCGTGATGCGAATGTGTTCTGTGACCGTGCCGTCCGCAACAACCGTGAGGTGTCTGGAGTGTCTTATCAACTCTAAGATTTTGTTGCACGTGAGAGGCGCATTCGTTGCCACCCACCCTATCCGAAGTCGTTGGTAGATCCATGTGTACCACTCGAGCTGTGCACGGCTGCGGTGAGTGGACCGTGTGTGACGCGGCCTGCTGTCTCTGCAGCCGACACCGGAAGTCGTGGTGGTGGACCTGACCTCGGATTCAGAGCCGATGGACACCAGCAGACCGCCGCCGCCGCCGCCGCCGCCGTCGGCGGCGGCAGTGCAGGCAGCGCCGGCCGTCGCTGCCGCCGCTGCCGCTCCCGGTCGGCCCCGGCCTCGACCTCACCAGCCGCGGCCCGCCTGCAAGCGCGCGGCCGCGCCTGCCGTCGCTCCGACGCCGCCGGCGGCCGCTGCCGACCCACCGGGTGCTGCGGCACAGTGAGTCCCCGGCCGCCGCGAGCGCTCTCCGTCACCAGGCAGTGCCGGTCACGCTCGTCCAGGTCGGGGCCGCGGATCGGTGGTAGGCTTCCGATGCACTGGCCATGCAGATGTGACTTTGAACCCCGCAAATCTGGCGCCGCTGCCCATCAGTATGTGCTGTCCCCATCTGTAGAGGAGCCTGTCTGTCATGTTATTGGAATGATTTGGCTATCGTTTTGCGTGGTAGCCAAGTTATGCTGCGCACTGGTCGCTTACGGCACGGTTAGAAGGTCCTTGGTACCAACTGTGATCTATTGTCATTTACTTTGATGCGATCAAACTGTTATCGCCCTTCTCGCGACCAACTGGAGTTTAAAAGTGCTCCACTCTGGTACCTCAAGCTATAATGTGAACATGAAAACACATAAAAAACTGCAATTGAAACCCTGATGGATCCCACCCCATCGTTGAGTTAAGAATTGCCAGCTGACCGATAATTTTACAAATTCGCAAAATGCCGTGAGGACCAAGAGCATCTTTGAATATTGTCTGGAAATATATGCTCTCCCAACAATATACTGTGCACTTCTATAGTAAGGGTTGTTCTTTGAAATTATCGCATGAATTCACCTGACAGTAAAACAACGAAAGTCGACTTTTTTAGATTACGCGTGTCGACCGCCATTGCACTGAGAGCGTTCCTAGAATGAAACGATGACGTTTTGTACCGGACGTGGATACATCGTGGGGGGGGGGGGGGGGAACTTTTGTGAAATGCATGTTTGCTGCACCAGTTGGTGGAAGTATGTTGCCAACAGTCGTATGGGCCGCCCTTCCACCACTGTACCTTGCGGCGTGCGTCTGATAGAGCCGGCCGTTCTTCTACCGCTGTACTTTGCGGTGCGTGTCAGATGTGGTGGCAGCCGACCGTCCGATTGAGTTCATGCTGTGCTTGGCAGGGCGGAGCCGCCGCCGCCGCCGCCGGCGGCGTGCAGTCGGCCAGAGTCCTGCCAGTCAATCTGTAACTTCGGAGGACACCACTGCCAGCATATGTACCAGGGTCAGCATCAGGCAGTCGGTAAGTCGCAGCGCCACCGCCAGCACGCGTACCTGGGCCAGTCCTGGTCGGTCGGTCGGTCGGTCGGTCGGTCGGTCGGTCGGCGCGTCATGCATGCATATACACGCGCATGGCGGTACCGTCTTGACTTCCTCCCAACATTGGCGTATTTCCGTGTTCTGTTCGTGCCGATTTAGCAAGGCGTCTACGTCAGAACTTGGCTTCGGTAACGCCTGCACCTCGTAGGCAGGTTGGGAAGCGTCTTTGACGTCTCCATTAGACTACGCTCGTACAGGATGGGAAACCAAACTAGGGTGCATCAGTGTGTTTTATTGTGTTTCCCTGTATTTTGAACCTGACGCGTCGTGGTTTACATTCATAAACAGGATAAGCGGGGCGAATGGAGCAGTGCCATCAAGACGTCAAATGCCATGGTTGCGGCGTAGATGGGACCGTACATGGCCGACCTGAAGTGTCTGTGCCGCCCGCAGGAGGCCGGCCCCTCGGCCAGAGGCTCCTGATGCCTCCGTACGTGTACCCGGAGCTGAGCGGCGGCGGTGGCGCCGGCGGCGGCTACCCGCTGTACGGACCTGCTGGCTACGCGGCGGCCGACACGGCGTCGTACGTTGCGGCGCACGAGCCTCCGCCGCCGCCGCCGCCGGCGCCACCCCACCCGCGCCACTTCCGGCTGTGGCAGCAGCAGCTGCGCATGCAGGAGGCCCGCCGGGCCCAGATGGATCTGCACACTAGGTGAGCAAGACCCAGATGGACCAGCACACCTGATGAGTGAGACCCGATGGGCCTGCACACCAGGTGAGCGAGACCCAGATGAACCTGCATACCATGTGAGCGAGGCCCAGATGGACCTGTGCACCATGTGAGCGAGGCCCAAGTGGACCTGTGCACCAGGTGAGCGAGGCCCAGGTGGACCTGTGCACCAGGTGAGCGAGGCCCAGATGGGCCTGCACACCATGTGAGCGAGGCCCAGATGGACCTGTGCACCATGTGAGCGAGGCCCAGATGGGCCTGCACACCACGTGAGCGAGGCCCAGACGGACCTGTGCACCAGGTGAGCGAGACTCAGGTGGATCTGCACATCAGGTGAGCGAGGTCCAGACGGACCTGCGTACCGGGTGAGCGAGACTCAGGTGGATCTGCACACCAGGTGAGTGAGACTCGGATGGACCTGCGCACCAGGTGAGCGAGACACATAAAGCAGGCATGCTCTCATATGCTCATTGTTACACAGATGGGCGGCACTTGGGTTCATCCACACGGTAGTCAGCTGTACCGCTAGTCGTATATCTGTTGTACCCTTGGCCGTATGCTCGTATCGTACCTCTATGTATGGGCCTCTAGCCGCGCGTGTATCGCGTGCTTGTGACTGCTTGCGTGCGCTCCACCTGGCGCCGTCCGGCCGTGTTGGAGCTCGGACAGTGTGTCGGAACGAACCTCTGCTTGCAGCTCCGTTCGTGTCGTGCAGAGGTCTCACCCGCGCTGCGGACCTTAGCGTATGGAGATTATCGATGGACATGGTGATGAATGCGACAGTATAATTGCTAAAAGATGTCAGTCTCCGAAGAATGGCCTGGTCGCGTGAAATCCCGCCAACGCACAACAATAGGATGTCGTAAAAAGGGTTTTGTGGGCGACGTATCTGCGTTGCAGGCCCGGTGTTGGCAGGCCATTCCTCCGTACCACTTGTCGCTGGACAGGGCTCTGATGTCCACAGAGACATGCAGGATCGAGCCGTTGTGAGCGGCCAGGGCTAACGCCGCTTGGCGCAGAGCAGCTGCTGTGATCTCTCGCGGCTCGCAGTAAAGAAGGCGAGACACACTCATTTCCCTCCCGTATCGAAATTAGGCACTGGAAGTAGGTCAGGAGTCTAGCTTCGAAACCGAATCAGAACCCAACATAGCGACACGAAGCTAAAGCCGGTGTCTGCGAAGTTTGAAACTGCGAAGCCGAAGCCACAGGTTTCTCATTCTAAAACATAAAGCCGAATCTGAAGCCGGTTTTTTAGAACTTTGCCAAGACGTAGTCGAGGCTGAAACCAGCCTCTTTCAGCTTAGGAAACGCGAAGCCAAATCGGAAACCATCAGCAGAAAGTCCGAGACCGATGTCGAAGACGAGTCTAGGGCGCAACGTGCGCGTGTCGAATACAACACGTGTCGAACGTCTCAATAGGCACGTGCCACGTCTCTGACGACTCCCTGTGTTTTCGTTGTCAACGCCTGCGTTGCTGATCTGGTGCTTGTTATTGCATGTTACCGTACGTCTGTGCGCTGTTTTTAACGGTCTAATGTCTGATACGTTTTGTTGTCCGTACCCCTGATCTGGTGTCTGTGTTGTACCTCCTGCCGGATGTAGGTACCGTACTTTTGGCCTGGTGTCTGTGCTGCACTTCTGGCCTGGTCTCTGTGCTCTACGTCTGGCCGGATGTCTGCGCCGTACCTCTGGCCGGATGTCTGTGCCGTACCTCTGGTCTGATTTTTGCGCCGTACCTCTGGCCGGATATCTGCGCCGTACCTCTGGCCGGATGTCTGTACCGTACCCCTGATCGGATGTCTGTGCCGTACCCCTGGCCTGGTGTCCGTGCTGTACTTGTGGCTGGTTGTCTGCCTTGTACCTCGGACTGGATGTCTGTGCGGTAGCTCTGGCCGGGTGTCTGCGCTGTCACATGCATGTGCTGTGTCCGAGGGTGTGTCTATGGCGCGCCTCTGATGACATGCGTCTGTCCTGGCAGGATGCGAGGCCACGCGAGCGGCTGCGGCGAGCGCAGCGCCGAGTCCAGAGCCGGCTACAGCTGGGGCCGAGCGGCGCCCGTCGGCGCGGTTGCCGGCCAGCCGCGGTCCGCACACGGCTACCGGGGGCCACACGCGCCGCTGGCTACCTTCTGTCCGGCGCAGCGAGCGGCCAACTCGGACTGGCGGCCGCCGGCGGCGGCGGCGGCCGCCCAGCAGCGCCAGCGCCGCTTTGTGCCGGCGGAGCCGGACCAGGAGACGGCTCGGACGCTGTCTGGAGCTGCCGCCGCCGCCGCCGCCGCCGCCCAGCCGACGCCGGACGACGAGGCGGCTGACTGTGGCGCCGGCGGGGCGTCGCACGCAGGCGGCACGGGGGCCGGTATCCGAACACCGACAGCACTGGTGTCTTATCTCTCCTACCATACGTGAGTGGCCCGGGCTGGTGCCTTGCAGCCCCCAACCACGCGTGGGTGGGTTGTACTGGTGGCATTGGCCACACCACACGGGATTGGTTTGGTTTGCCACCTCCCACACCACATGGGTGGTGAGGTGTGGTGTGTCCTACCACACCACACGTGAGTGGTGAGGAGCACTGTGTCTTCCCATGCCGCACATGGGTAGTGAGGAATGGTGTGTCCTCCCATGTCACATGCAGGTAGTGAGGAGTGGTGCGGCCCCCACACCACGTGAGGGTGAGAAGTGGTATGTCCTCCCACACCGCACGTGAATGGATTCGTACCATTGTGTCTCTCACTATCAGACGTGTACTGGGGGCTAGAATCGGAACTGACTTCTTATTCTTGAAATAGTCGTCTGTTTGGAATCGATTCCGTTGGAATTTTTCGCGAGTTGAATTTGCAGTTGAATGAATCAGCTCGGTAGTGAGTCATCTGAAGTAAAGAACTACGCAGCGGGATATATGCCTTGTCTCATCCCTCACGGGCTGCGCGTGAGCTGTTTGGATTAGTGTCTCGCTTCATGTACCGCACGGAAGCGGTTTACACTACTCTGTCCTGCCACACCAAGCGTGAGTGTATGCACGCGTTATGCACGCGTTTGGTCTTGAATTTGGTTTGTATTATTACTATCTGTGATATCCAATTTACATGCTGCGTTGTTGTGACCGTGCGGGTCCCTATGACGCAATTCGTAAAGCGTTCCAAGGCACCGAACAGATGTAAGCTGTCTGACAAAAGGTCATGTTTTAAACGCGTATTATGGGTTCCTGTGCTTAATATCATCGCATCAAATCGTTAGGAAAGGTGTCTGCTGTAATGCTTAACAGCAGTGACTCCCTTCCTGGCTCTTGTTTGCAGCAGTCCTACGCTGTTGTTCCGGTTGCAGCGTTTGGGGGACTGGTGGTAATACTGTCATGTGGCTGCCGGCCTGGTCTGCTGACAATGTCTGTTGTTGCAGGCCCGAGCTGCCGGTGCCCCACTACCATTACCTGCCGCACGCGCACATGCAGCCGGTGGGCTTCCACGGTCTGCACATCTCCATATCACCGATGCCACCGCATCCGGTCAGTGGTTGAGTGTGGGACGATAAACAAGTTTCCTGTCGAGGATTAGATTTCTGTTAATGGAACCTATGTAGTGTTTTCCCTAACTGGTTTGCTCATGTGATGAGCCATTTTATTTGGTCTGATGAACTTACCTATGTGGACGTGGTGGACTCCTCTTTGGTAATGATGCCGTCTGCGCGGGTATGATGAACCCCCTGTGCTGGTCTGATGATCTTTCTGTGCCAGTCTGATGAGCTCTCCGTGCTGGTCTGGTGAAACCTCTGTGCCAACCTGGTGAACTCTCTGTGCCAGTCTTGTGAACCCTCTGTGCTAGGCTGATGAACCCTCTGTGTCACTCTGACGAACCTTCTGTGCTGGTATGATGAAACTTTTGTGCTGGTCTAGTGAACCCTCTGTGCTGGTCTGATGAAACCTCTGTGCCAGTCTAATGAACCACTGTGTGGGTCTCATGAACCCCTGTGCTGCTCTGATGAACCATTTTACTGGTCTGATAAACCCCGGCGTTGGTCCGATGAACCCATGTACTGGTCCGATGAGTTTTACGCCATCCTGGTGGACCCCTCTGTGTCGGTTTCATGGACCCCTCTGCAGCGGTGTGATGAACTCCACAACATTGGTGTGGTGGACTCCTCTGTCGTGGTCTGATTGAACTCCTTGTTGCACCGGTGCACTGGATCCTTCTGTGCTGGTGTGACGGCTCCCCGGCTCCGCTGCGACGGACGGTGTGAGTGTGAGTGCCGGTGTGAGTGCTCGACGGATCAGTCTGTCCATGGATGCCCAGGTGGCTCTATTAGCACTGACACGTTCGTTAGCTTCTTCCTTTGCCTCGATGTGAGCTCAGCACCATCGCTTAGCCTGACGGTTTAGCAGTGTCGATACCAGCATTAGTTTGGTCAATGCATGGCTCCAAGTCATATCGTCTATGCTTTCCAAACATAAATTGTCATCCCTGCCATAATGCTATGTTGGACAGGTTTCGTTTCAAAGTGTTGTTCACCATCTCCGGAGAGGCCATGCTTGTTAAATTGTAAAATCGTCCACCCTAAGCATCAGTGGTCGGTTGCGGGAAAATGTCCATCGGACAAAGGTTTGTCAGGCAGAAGTTCATCGGACAGTGTTTCGTATGGGCAAGGGCTAGTCGGACAAAACTTGTTTGTGGTAAAATTTCGTCTCTTGGAGGTTCGTCTGTATAGCGTTCGTCCAGGAAGAGTTTGTTTTGGGAAGAGTTTGTGTGGCAGCAGCTCGTCTGGGATAAAAGTTCGTCTAGCGCAACAGTTTGTATCGCACGTGGTGTTCTCGGGCTCAGACGAGGCCTCGGATTTCAGCTTGTAGCACTTTGAATTGATTACTACTTGGGATCTGTTCCGATTTCAATTCCACGTACCCAGTGCAAGATGTGATCGTTTTTTATCCTGACGTCAGGCACATTTTCTGAAATCGACCGCGCCAATGATTGCAGTGAAGTAGAATCCATCCCGGAGTCGCAGTAAGGCATGTTTGTCATTTATCATTAACCGTATCGTCAATGTAATGCTAAAGTTTCCTTTTTTCAAGGCTGGTAACGTGGAACGGATTATTCATATTCTTGTTCCTCAACCTCGTTAATGAGGTACATGCAGCACAGGCTTGGAGAAAACGATGACAATGTGCGTACTGTAAGCTCGATTAAATGGTGGTATCTAGGCTGGCCAAAATGAGTTCCGAGTCCAGCATGGTTCCAAAATCGCAGAACTCCGCGCGGCGTTCAGGTGCGTTACCGCCTTGCATATGCCACCTCGAGACGGAAGACTTTTGCGAAAAGTGGAAAAGTTTTGTCACGTGTTCCAGCGTTCAGCTGTAGACATCAGTATGTAACCAGCTATCCAGGTCCATGCCGTGTGACTACACGTGAATGTTCGCACTGCATTGCTGCAAAAAGCTGTAATGTAATGTAATGTAATGCTACGGAAATTATGTTCGGGTAGGAATCGTTCGGCAGTTTTCTTTCATGGGGCTGTAGAACGAGTCATAGGCAATGCGTTTTTACGGCTCGAAAACGAGGCCAGCGACCTCGGAGTTCTCGGGGCGCGTTTGTTTGAATGTGTGCACTCAAACATGGTTCGACTTCTGGCATCCGGGCCAGTGCGCTGCAGAGAAAGGTGTGATTAAGAGCTTGTAAAGCACGTCACGGCTTTCGGGCCTGGTAGAAGCGTACATTCTGCTGTGCTGTGACCGAATGGTAACTGCCGACCAAGCCAGCGGCGGCTGTGTCCCTACACCTCCGTCATGCTGCTGCGACGGACCCCTGTTTGGTACGCGTGCGGGAGGGTGTGTGTGGATGTGTGCGGTGAACCCGTCCACGCCATGGCTTACTCTTTTGTGATGAGTCTGGACTCCCGGGTGTGTGATATCTGTACCGTGTCTCACCGTACTGTACTGATGTGCTGTGTGCTGTACTGTGCCATACCGTGCTGCCTGTCTGACTAATCTGTACTGGGCCTGTTGAATCAGTCGGTTGTATGTACAAAACAGACCCGTCTGCGTTGTGTCGGACGGACCCACCTGTGCCGTGTCGGACGAACCCGTCTGCGTTGTGTCGGACGAATCCGTCTGCGCCGTGTCGGACGGATCCGTCCGTGCAGTGTTGAAGGGATCAGCCTGCGCTCTGTCTGACCCGGCTGTTTTTCGTCTGGAAGGCCTGCCTGTGCGAGTGTGAATGCCCGCGGTTGGGACGCGCTGGCGTGTGCTGACCTGGCTGGTGTTTATGTCCGCGCGGCAGGGCGTGCCCGTCGGGCCGCTGCTGATGCCGCCGCCGACGCCCGGGCCGCCGCTGTCGCCGGTGCACCTGGTGGACGAGCACTACCTGTACCTGATGTCGCAGCTGGAGTCGGCCCGGCACGGCGGCTCGCCGCGGGGCGCCACGCACACACAGATCGAGCGCAACACACTGCCGCATCGCTACCGGGTGAGCGGGCCGGACGCCGGCTCTGCTGGCGACCAGGAGAGGGCGCCACGCACACACAGATCGAGTGCAACACACTGCCGCATCGCTACCGCGTGAGCGGGCCGGGCGCCGGCTCTGCTGGCGACCTGGAGAGGGTGCCACTTACACACAGATCGAGCGCAACACACTGCCGCACCGGTACCGGGTGAGCGGGCCGGGCGCCGGCTCTGCTGGCGACCTGGAGAGGGTGCCACTTACACACAGATCGAGCGCAACACACTGCCGCACCGTTACCGCGTGAGCGGGCCGGGCGCCGGCTCTGCTGGCGACCTGGAGAGGGTGCCACTTACACACAGAGCGAGCGCAACACACTGCCGCACCGTTACCGCGTGAGCGGGCCGGGCGCCGGCTTTGCTGGCGACCTGGAGAGGGTGCCACACACACAGAGATCGAGCGCAACACACTGTCTCACCGGTACCGGGTGAGCGGGCCGGGCGCCGGCTCTGCTGGCGACCTGGAGAGGGCGCCACACACACACAGATCGAGTGCAACACACTGCCGCATCGCTACCGCGTGAGCGGGTCGGGCGCCGGCTCTGCTGGCGACCTGGAGAGGGCGCCACACACACACAGATCGAGTGCAACACACTGCCGCACCGCGACCGGGTGAGCGGGTCGGGCGCCGGCTCTGCCGGCGACCTGGAGAAGGCCACCTCACTTGGTTACGAGACCAGTGGAGGACGCCCCGTAAGGGCATTCACCAATGCCACCCGGTAAAGCTACTGGTACAGCTCTCAAGTTTGACTGGGCGTGACATGTGCCGTACGTGTGTTATGCAATGTTTTGTTTGGGAAAAGGTGAAAAACATCACATAGTTTAGGGAAGAAGTTCGCGAAGTCAGTTAGCTGTGCGTAGGAGGCGATGCAGGATATGAAAGTATTCGTAAAGATTGCAAGTACTTTGCAGCTGGGGAACTCGTGTGCGTGGTGTCTGTCCCCGTACTCCGGCTGAGAAGGACAACATATGTTGTCACTTTGTGGATGGGTTGAGCCGTTCGTTTGACAAACACGGCATGGCAAACATGATCTAAGTGAACAATTATACGCGGCATTGACATTGATTTGCTGTTGTCAGGTTGCTGGCTGTCCTTTTTAGTGCGTTTTAGCTGTTACAGTGGTTCACTGTGAGGTTAATACGATAGGTCAGCACGCGACCCTGTGGTGGCGCACGGACTGGTTGTTTTCGTGTGAGTGCGTCTGAGTTGGAGTTTGTTGAAAGTGAGGTGTTTATTGCCGACACTGACGACTGAGATTCGACTGACAAGACTGTCGGCATCTACGCGTGCCACCTGTTGCCGTGCTGGGCGGCGAGCCGGTTGTTGGCATGTCGTGTGACCCCCGGTGCGTGATCGTGTATCATTGTGATGTCGCAGGCGCAGCGTGCGGGGGCAGAGTCGGTGGACCGGGAGAAATGCACCATCTGTCTGTCGGAGTTCGAGGACGGGGAATGCGTGAGGCAAGTCACTGAATCGGCTGTCTCACCTTTGACGCCCTTGTAGCATGCCATAATGTTGTCTTACACACACGTGGTCATTTCTGACAGTCATTTGTGGACGAGGGCCACGACAGCAAGTGATTTGGCCGCTAGGTCCGGACCACAGCCCGTTGCTGAAGCTGTGTGACATCTAGTATTCATTGCTTGCACTGGGTGTAGGTGCTCCGGCCGCTTAGGCTTCGTTGCTGGCGCTGGCTCGATACCAAAAACGTCGCGGTCATGTGACAAGTGTGGCAGCCGGTGACGCACCCCAGTGACGCCCCACCCACCCACCCCGCCCCGCTCTTCACAGACGGCTGCCGTGCATGCACCTGTACCACATCGACTGCGTGGACCAGTGGCTGGCGACCAGCCGCCGCTGTCCGATCTGCCGGGTCGACATCGAGGCGCATCTCACCAAAGACTACTCGACCATGTAGCGGCCGGCCGGGCGCCGGCCGCGGCTTCGGGCCACCGCCTCGGGCCACCGCTGGCCGCGTCCCGGACCCGCACCGCGCGCGCGCGCGGTGTCTCTTCGCACGCTCATCTCCCCTATCTGTGGTTTTGCCAATCTTGGGGTCATGCGTCTCTGAAATGGCTTGCTTCAGTAGTGTCCCTTGAACTGGAGGTTGTGGGAATGCGTTAATTGTGTTGGGACATGCTTTCAACATGTAACAAGGTTTCAGCGCATTTACGTGGTTGCACCTGTTACAACGGGTGCTGTTTCTTTTGACCGTGTTCGCTGGCACCATCCGCTCATTGTCACGTATCGCACACACCGGGCCTGGCTGGTCTGTGTATTTCTTTAGCTAACTACACAGATGATGACTCGGTGTCGTCACTGACGCCGCTCAAGTATCGTCGCTGGCGCCGCTCACGTGTCGTCGCTGGCGTCGCTCAGGTGTTGTCGCTGGCGCCGCTCAGGTGTCGTCGCTGGCGCCGCTCACGTGTCGTCGCTGGCGCCGCTCACGTGTCGTCGCTGGCGCCACTCAGGTGTCGTCGCTGGCGCCGCTCACGTGTCGTCGCTGGCGCCGCTCAGGTGTTGTCGCTGGCGCCGCTCAGGTGTTGTCGCTGGCGCCGCTCACGTGTCGTCGCTGGCGTCGCTCAGGTGTTGTCGCTGGCGCCGCTCAGGTGTCGTCGCTGGCGCCGCTCACGTGTCGTCGCTGGCGCCGCTCACGTGTCGTCGCTGGCGCCGCTCACACTGCCGAAATACTTCCGAACCCGCTTTCGTTGTTCATGTGCGATGCGTGTGGTGGTTATGGGACTGGGAGTGTTTGTGCTGTGTAGTGGGTATCTGTGTATGCGGTTTGTCACTCTATCTGGCGAGATCGGATATTTTTCACAGCTGTTCGGGCGGGGGGCGGGGCATCCAGTTCCTGCTGTGTCACCTTGTGGTAGTTAATTGGAAATGCGTCTAGACCCAAAGAAATTATTTTGATTCGCGTTGAGGTGTGAAGCAATGTGTGTTTGCTCAGCCACGTTACTCGAGCTATTCATAAGTCCTGTTTACCCATATAACAAGCATCGATGCTTGACATAACCCAGCAAGGGCTTGAACTCATGTTTTCTCATTAAGTTGCGGTTCCTATGGTGACAGTAATTGACCTTCATTATGCTTGGAAGTGGTGGTTAAATAATGTTGTGTAGGAAACATTAGTTATATCACCAAAACTGGAATTTTCAAGCTGTGTTTGCGACCATGAAGGAGCAAAGTTAGGCAAAATGTGGCATTTAAAAAGTAGACACGTGAATGGAGGCAATGCTCCAAATCTGTGCAGACACTGCCATGAGGACATGTCCGAATTATAGATCCTCTGAGCTCTGGCATCGCAGCACCTGCCACACGGAGATACGCTAGGGGTTGCGCGGAACACATGTAACCTAGCCGGAAGGTAACGATGACCTACACCAAGTGAGATGTTGGAAATTTCTGCCAATGCCAGGCATCATGAGAATTGCGCCAGCATCCCACGTGTTCAGCCTAACGTTGTAATACCCAATACACGGCACTATGCCAAGGTCTGGCCGACATGCAGGCGGGGCGGGCATTGCCAGCGGGCATCAGTATTAAGCCCAAAGAGCAAGGAACTATTACTGAACGTGTATCACCTGAGCAGCGTTTTTAGACCAGGCCCTCAGCTGACGTTTGTGTGTTCAGCCTTGGACGAAGATCACTGTGTTTATCCGGGACTGAACACAACAATCGGGGCCTCCCAATCTTCACCCGAGGCTGATCACGCGAAACGTGGTGTGACCTGGTTTGTGCAACGTTGTTTGGGTACTGGATGTTTGGAAATAATTACGTAATCGCTGTAATGAATACTGATGGCCGCGGGCAAGCTTTTCTCTAGCCCTTCAGCCGGTGCGGGTCGACGAAAGCTTGCAGCTTAGACCCCCATGTTTGAAGCAGCCCCCAGCACGGCGCCGTGTACAGAGTGGTGTATTGGGAGAGCCTGAAGACTTGTTTATTTGGATAGCATTTACATGGCAGTGTCTGCACACGTTGGAACCTTCTTCTATTCACGTGTCTTTGTTTTCCTTTTTGTGTGTGTTTTGCTTGACTTTGTTCACTCGTGACGATGAGAACAGCCCGAAGCTTGGAGTTTTGACGGTAAAATCGATGTTTGCTTGATAGCGTCGTTTTACCACTTCGTCGTGGTATAGTGAAGGTGTGGTATTTTGCGCATAGAACTCCCAACTCAATTAACAATGCTTTCTGTTCTGCCTCATAAAAAGCATTGTGGTCGTGCATTATATCAGGGTATATAACAATATCTGGTGACTGAAACACTGCTTTCGTGCATTTGGTAATGCTCGTGTGAATACACGCCACATGTAACTGCAAATATGAGGCGTGTCCGCAGACCTGTGTGGGAAGGAGTCACATATTTTCCATTAGGCCCCTCGCGGCTGAGGAAAGGTTGTCGACTGGCTGCTATAGCTCACTGAAACCGCTGCTGGGTATTGTGTTCGACAGTTCATTTCGATGGGACCCTGTTGAGACCCTCTCGGGTATTGCTCACGCTCAAGAGGGAGCTCCAGACAACTGCCCTGTGTACGTGGACAGCTGTTATGCGAATCCAGCTATACACCGGCCTCAGTCTGAAAAACTGGGCTTTCTAAACGCGCCTCTCGGCAACTTGGGGTCGCACGCCGGCTGGCACCCTTTCCCACGAGAGCATCACCCGTTCAGGGAGGGATATGTAATCTGAGTCGAGGGGTGTGTCCGGATTCCGACCAGTCGTCACCTGGTCTGATGTTCCGTGTTTCTGCCTATCTATCCGCATCATCCCTCGGCGCACCATCACCGGCGTCCGCTTTGGAATTACAGAGAGCGGCTGCATGGGACAGGCTTAGTTCCCCGCCATGTTTCTAACCATTTAATTTGGTTCTTGCAGAAAATGATGGGAATCGAAACACAAACCGCTATTAGTCCCACCAATCTGGTACAATGTCCATTGCCCCTGGATTTTAGTGGTAGAAACGTTCTTTAAACATACAAAATCGAAAGTCTGGCTCCTGGCGTAATGGCTGCCGGTTACAACAAATTACAATAGCAAAGCATAGTTCAGCCCAGCATCCAATATGGCCAGACACAGGACATCAAAAGTGGGATCGTGCTGTGCGGTGCCCACAAATGGACAGGACAGGACAGCACAGGTCAGGCGGTAGAGGACGGTATGGAGGGATTGGAGGGAAGGATCGGTATGGAGGGAGGGATCTTGTATCCGAAAGCGTTCCTTCCCACACATCTTGGATCGATATTTGATCCAGGTCCTATTCGTCCCGGCATGCCCGCAAAGGGCCCTGTTCGTCCATGCAGTATTTCTCACGACGCACGGGACGTCGCCATTTCGCGTCTTCGGTCGCCTCCCGTGCGATACGCTGCAAACACTCGTCTTTCGCTTGCTCGGCTCGCAGTTCATGCGGACCGTATTTTTGCATGTCCACTTCCAAAACAGCGCAAACAGGTCGCGTTTCGACATCTAGGTCTACCATTTCTCGGCCCGCCTCTGTTTCCGCAATCATGTCCGCCCAGCGCAAACGGTTTAACCCGTCCAAATGAAGTCCATTTCTTTGCCAGGCCTGTGGTGCACGTCGAATTGGACATCCAAAAGCCTGATGGCGTCCGGCACCAGTCTGGATGAGCCCTTTGGTTCTTTGGAGGCCTGTAGGGGATATCGCAAGGCAGAATTATAAGTGAAAAGTGCAAAATGTATTCCTCTTAAAATGTATTTTCCCTTCGAGACAGTCGAAGAATTCCTCACAGCCTGCAAAAATCACGGTCGAACTTCCTTCCACTAAGATTGGTTGGCTGGGCTGCGACGGCGTGAGCGCTTGGCGGCGTGCGCTACCAGATGGGAGCCATCAGGTCACACCTGGTGCAGCACTGCTGCTGTCGCCTAGTCGCTGGCGTCGGTGTAAACATGAAAAGTGTGCCAGCCCGTGAAATCGGGGTACCGTAACACCGGACTCTGGCGTATTCGTCTTTTAAACATATCAAATGCCTCTCGCCAGTCCTGCATGAAAAGAAAAGGAACGCCCCTTTTCAGGAGACTCAAGGGAGGTTGCGCCAAATCCGCGAAGCCGAACACGAATTTCTTGTAAAAATTTCCTACGCCTATGAAGCTGCGAACTCAGACTTGCGTTCAGACTTGGGTTCGGCAATTTGCGACGTGGCACTCGTATTTCTTCCGGCGTTATGACATGCAGTTTAACCCTTCACCCTTTTGCATAGAAGTTTGGTCTTAGGGGGCTTGTACCTGATCCGTGTGCCATAGCCAGCTCGAATACCGCCTCTAATGTTTCCAGGTGCTTATCAGCGCTGCTGGTGCAACCAATGAGGTTATCCAAGTAGCAATGCACTTGGTTGGTGACCAGCAGAGGTACGTACATCGCGTCCACCGGTCTCTTCGACGTTGCACTGGCGTTTTTGAGTCCCATGAAAAGCACGTTTGGTTTGATATTACCGAACGGCGTGTTAAAACCCGCCAATTTTGTTCACTCTGGTTGAACTAACTTGAATTTGATAAAACCCTTTTCCAGCTATGTCCATTGAGCTGATCGTCCATCGGCCTTTTGCTGTCTGAGCTCTTCCAAAAAACGTTGTTTGCCAGGCAATGGGTGACTGATGGTTTCCGGAACCGAATTCAGTTTCACAAAGGACTGACAGGGACGCCATTGATCAGCATCCGATGTGGCCCGGCCTTTTTCACCAGAATGTATGGAAAAGTGAAGCCGTCATACGCCGGTTTGGTGAGGCCGTGCTTCAGTATGTCCTCTTACTGTCTTATGAGTTCGCGTTACTGGTGCGCGGCGCATGGGTATGGTCTGCTCTACACGGCGGCGGCGTCAGCTTTCAATTGTATTGTATGGGCTGCTATTACGATACGCTCAAGACCGAATCCATGGATCACAAAAAAATGCTCTCCTTCTCGCAGAGTAAAGCCTGGACATGGTCACGCAACTTTCCCTCGAAATGATCAAGATCGAAATTGTCCAAACAGGCCTGTCGTGCTGGCCAGCGCCGGTCCCACGGCGTAAGAGGTTCGCCGTTCGTGGCGGCCACGTCCCGCATCTCTCTGGTTGCTACCTGCTCTTCGCGCAGTGTGCTTTGTCCCAGCACATAGTTCCGAGGGAGAATCACCTCCCCATCGGTGGGGTTGGATAATGTCATCCTCATCTGGCATTGCTCGCTGGTTCGGGCCAGCGAGCCTCGCACCTCCATCAGCGATGGGAGGTGTCCTCCGACGCCGTGGGAATGAACTCCACCAGCCGAATGGCTCCCCCCCCCCCCCCGTGCGACATCTGGACGGACGGTGACGTCACACGCGTGCTGCGCTGGCCCGCTCACTGGGTTGCTAAGACACGCAGCCCGCGGGCCGTTTTAAAAAGTCGACAGGAGGACGAAAAGATCATGCGGGTGCCCGCAGTGCGCACATAATTGTCAGCCGCGTTCAGTACCGTTTTGGACTCTAATGAAATCTATTTCCAGCAGAACATCATGCGGATCATGGGCGTAGGAACAGGGGGCGGGGGGGGCCATGCCCCCCCCCCCCACT